CGGACAATTACCCCCCATGCTATTCACCACCAGACAATTACCCCGTGGACATTTACCCTCCGGGCAATTACCCCCCGGACATTTACCCCCCGGACAATTACCCCCTGGACATTTAGAGGAGATCGAGGATGACGGAGAAGGTAGTGGAGGAGGAGGGGTAGGAGGGAGAGGAAGAGGTAGAGGAGGTGCAGGTGGTGGTTGAGGGAGGAGGGGAGAATGTGATTGTGCGGGTGGTGGGGGGGGTAATTCTCCGGGAGGTAAATGTCCGGGGGGTAATTGCCCGGAGGGTAAATGTCCACGGGGTAATTGTCTGGTGGTGAATAGCATGGGGGGTAATTGTCCGGGGGGTATTTGTCCTAGAACTATATATATGGCTCAAAATATGCTAATGTGTTACAAAAGTGTTTCAAAAGGTTCCAAAATATTTTTTTTTATTTTTCTTAAACCATCATTTTTCATTAGTTAGGATAACTATCTTTCAGGTCTCAGTGGACTAAAATCAGCTGCATTCCTGGGGGTCCTGTAAATTTTTTGTTTTTGAGTCTAAATGGACATTAACGTATGTTAGTGATTTCACGTACGTTGATTTTTGACGGATTAGTGATGCTAATACTTACAACTAGGATATTTATCAAAAGGAACACAATAATCATTGGAAAATTTGATTATTATCAATCATTACACATTGTGAATACAGACAAAGTTTTCACATGAATTATAAACCATGGTTTAGGCCAGTTTGGTGGGGTGGTACACTACACACAATTTGACAGAAAATTCAACGCACGTGAATACATGTTTGTAATCTCACTAAGGGGAAAACTGTTCTGTGAATTTATTATATGGACAGCTTTTTTACATTTTAGAATGTTGTTTGTTAGGGTAGGCTGTTCACTTGCATGAATACACAGGGAAATGCAGGCAGTTTAGGCGAAGAATGTGCCTAGTTTTTGCTTGTAACAAATCCATACTGAAAATATAACATTTTTTAAACTGAAAATTCGAATTTAAAAAAAAATATTTGAAATAAACTAATGGGAGTGATCCTGATGTTTCTTGATGAAAACATCTCAAGCCCAGCTTTAAAATTAAAAAAAAGGATAATTACATTTTTGTTGGGAGAGCATGCATTTTTGGATATACAAGTGTAACACATTCGCATATTTTGAGCCATATGTATCTATATAGCAAGATTTTCACTCTCATGTAATGTCACCAGTTTTAAAACAATTTACATTGCAACAGTTTGCAAAATTTATTTAACAGCACACTAAATAATATTTTTTATTTCTGTATTGTACTTGTTAATGTTCTAAAAATCTGAAACATCTAAATATTTTAAAAGTATCAACAATACTAGCTCCAAGAAACGGTCTTTGCTAGGGTTAGGGGATGCTAGGGGGCTTAGGGGACTGTGTATATTGACGTTAGTCACACAGCCTGGTTGGGTTACAACGATACCAAAGAAAGTACATTGTTGAACATAAATTACTTTGAAATGTGAATGCAAATGCTTGAAACAACATGTGTTATTGTATACCAATACAGGGTTCTCCAAGAGCACTTATAGCCTGGCGGCCCGCCAGGTTATCGTTGAGCCCCGCCATCCTAAAAATGTACCCGCCACTCTAAATATCATAGCCGCCATGCTGGTGTATACACAAGAAGTTCAAACAATTAATACACGTTGTGACTGAAAATACGCAGAGGCTACGGGTACGGCAGCCGTATCTTAATGTCTCGAGGCTACGGGTACGGCAGTCCCACACACAAGTGTAAACAGTCACCCTATCCCTATCCCTAACCCAACCCCAACCCTAACCCTAACACTAACTCTAAACCGACTCGGCTATCTTATATACGCGTGTTATAGTACCCAATTAATCTATGGTGTATAACCTTTTGCTTTCAATGTTTTGCATCTGAACTGACAATCAATCCCAGCCAACTGGTGTAGGCTAGCTGGCACAATAATGTTCATTTTCATACTTCAAATCCGAGTGTTTTCTAGCTCATCAAGAAATCTTAATCGGGAATTAAATCGTGAATTAATTTCCAACGGCATTATTACGGGGCAGGTAACCCAGTCTAACACGAGGTAGAGTAGACTGGTACATTTACCGACCACTCCTGCCATTGTATTTTTTGTACATAACACTAGGGGTAGAGCCCACAATAACAATATACAAACAGTGGACATAGCCAAAGGCAAATGGTAAGTCAGATCCAGAACAGTATTGTAAAGCTGTCGATAGTAAAACTACATAATACAAATGAGTAAAATGATATAAGAAGATTTACAGTACCAGTATAGTTGGTATGTATATGCAGTGTTGGAAATAAGACAAAAATTCCATCCGGTCCTGATTTAAAAAATTCCTAAATCCGCAATATAAGCTACAGTTATTTTCTTGAAAATTAGCCAGTCCTGCTCCAAAAGTAGCCAGCCCTGCTGAAAAGTTACCAGTCAGGGACTATGGGACCAGCTGCTATTTCCAACACTGGTATATATATATCAGGTTTTCTGATT